CCATACAATAAATTTTGTAATTTATTGTAGAGACAGACAAAATCTTGCCAAGTTGCCCGGGTTGGTCTTGAACCCATGGGTTCAGGCAATCCACTCACCTCAGCCTCCCAAAGCGCAGGATTACAGGCTGAGCCACTGAGCCCAGCTTGATTTCTTTATTTATTGTAGAGATGAGGTCTCAGCCCTGAGCTCAAGCAATGCTCTCACCTCCACCTCCCAAAGTGCTGGGATTACACTGTACCCAGCTCAATAAATATTAATAGCTAAATGTACTAAGAACTTACTGTGTGCTTACCTGATCCATCTCATTTCATTCTTATAACTACCCTGTAAGACAGGGACAACTTTATACTTATTTTGCAAATAAGAAAACAAAAGCTCAGAAAGATTAAACAAAATGTTTGAGGTCATTCTGCCTTTTAGTGGCAGAGCCAGCATTCAGACTTGAGGTCTACTTGATTCTGAAGTTCCAGTTTAACTGCTGTGTTCTATTATTTGACCCAATCTGAACTAACTGAAACTGAATCCTATTTTTTCTCCCCAAACTTTCTCAAGTCTCCCGGCTGACCTCAAAACGATTCTGCCGGGTTGGGATGTCCACTGCTGTCAAGTCAGCCAAGGATCTGAATTGTGCATTGGTGTGATCCTTGAGGAAAGTCAGCACTGGAATGACTCCATCAGGATGGATACAGATCTCTAACTCATTGAAGCAGGACACCTGCAGACACAGAAGGGAGGGAAGAAGGAACAAAGAGCTATTGAGGAAACAGCTAACTCAAACTAGAGTCACCTGGTTTAATGCAGGGAAAGAAGCCCAAGTTTGAGTTGGAGGAGTCTGTGGTTTCTTTGAAACCAGGCTGCCCACTCTCATATGCCCTGAAAACATGGTTTTTTCTTAGTCCAGACCCAAACAACAGTAGTGAGTATTACCTGAACTTGTTGGACATACTTGGGCAGGATTTCAGCCACATACTCTCCGAAGGCTGAGAGCTGCTTATGGGCCATATCATTCTGTGGTCTGACAGTGGCTGGAAGGAAAAGGCATACTTAACAAGGAACGGAAAAAGCAGCAGCCAGCCCTGCATCCAGTCTCTTGGGCTTCTAAGAAATACCATCTCCCAGCAGGTCTCCCGCAGAGCTTTAGGAGAGGTGTAGGTGGAGGGTTCCTCTTCCAGGGACTAGGAAATGATGAAAACGTAGGGAAAATGCCACATCCACTAAATAGTCCACAAAGGCTCTTGTCATAGTACTGCTGCTAGGGTACGTGACTCTTCTCAAAATTATTGCCTGGTTATTCCCTCACACTGCCTGCATTTCTACTAAACCAGCACAGTCTCAGTTCTCCTATCAGACCGGGGCTCTTTGAGAATGAGAACCAGATCTTTTGCTTTTTTGTATCTCCTTAGCATTAAGCTTATACCAAGTTCTCAAATTAAGAACTTCAGGGCTGAAAAGAGGGCCTCCTTGAAACATATTTTTTGTATCAGTGAGAAAACTGAGGTCCAGAAAGGGGGAAATGCCAGATCTCCTAAATCCCAGACTGTTACACAAAATCTCCATATACTCATTCTTGCAACCCTGAATCACTGAGCACTCACACATCGTAGGCTTTGAGTAATGGTTAAGTGTTCTCTGCCTCTGGCAGCAGGTAGGCCTGCTTTATCATTCACTAAGTCTGTGCCCTGGGCAATTTAATTCTCTGGACTGTTTCCTGATTTAAAGTAAGGAGAGTAAAAAAATGCTATCAACAGCCCGGCTCGGTGGCTCAGCCTGTAATCCCGCGCCTTGGGAGGCTGAGATGAGTGGATTGCCTGAGCCCGCGGGTTCAAGACCTGCCTGGGTAGGCGAGACCTCATCTCTGCAATAAATCAAAAACAAATCAGCCAGGCATGGTAGCACATGTCTGTAGTTCCAGCTACTTGGAAGGCTGAGGCGGAAGGATCGCCGGAGCC